ACCTTTCGTAAAAAATCAATAAATAAAACAAAACGTGCATGCGAATGATAAAATTGAGGTTGGCTATTCATAAAGCGTACGTGGGGCCATCGTACATTAAAAAATTACGGCATACATATATATATATATATATATATTTTTTTTTTTAATGCTAAAGTGGGTTCAAGTTATAAAAAAAAAAAATTAGGGATAATTGTTTTTGTTTTTTTAATATTTAAATTTAATATTTCCAAAAAAGAAACTAGTTGTCAACACTTTTTTATCAATATTTAAAAAATTCATAAAAAATGTAGATGTGAATGGTGACAACAAGAGTATTAATTTTTATGAAATATGAAATCAATTCCTATAAATTGGTATATAAATAAAGTATACATATACTTTAATAACTAAATTATATAGAGCTTCGCGGCACCTAATGAGATCTTTTGCGGTGGCCAATGCAAAAATAGCGTTTAAAAGCAAAAGCGGTCTGTAAAATAAACATTTTTAGTTTAAATTGAAACGAATAAAGAACAGAATCCTCCTCACACATAGGTCAAGAATAGTAGTGCTGTGATACCACATGGAATACTAATCCCTTTCGATGTCACGAGTTTTACCGATGGTATTATTTCCATCTGTGAGATCTCTGCCAAGCGTGCATAATATTCTTCAATGATCTTGCAACTTCAGCATTGGTCCGGTGTACCATGTAAGCCAATAAAAGTCCTTATAAGGAAACTAAAGAGTACAGATGAGCGTTTTCAGTTGTAGGAGAGCCAAGAATCCTCGCCCCACACTGTATGAAAAGTTTTCCCGTACATTTACTAAATGAGTCCTGTGATCTCTTAAATATCGTTCAAATGTAGCCACCTACCGTGTTCCTTTTTTTTACGGATGTGGTCGAATCTATCCTTGCCAATTTGCCACTTTTACAATTCGTCTTAATATTTATGAACTGGTTTCTTTGAGTCTTACTGCTGTACTAACGGCCGTCCCGAGCAATTTCGTAAATCGGAGGTAGGTGCAAGATCGCATTTAGGATGTATGTATGAGGGCGTCAGGCAAAAATGCGCTTACACAATGTTGCGGTCTTTACCTGCACACTTAAACGAATCCCCCATTTAGCCATATTAAAAGTAACTTCGTCTAAGATAAATATGGGGCCAAAGCAGACCAAACCCCGTGTGGTTTTCTATATATTTCATTAGGTCCTTTTTCTGCAAAACCACTGCTTGTCATGAAATGAATACGCATTATGAATTTCAATCAGATTTTATAAAATATAGCGGGTTCTAGAATGAAAAAATTTTCCCCATACAAAATTGGACCACTTTAATGTATATATATGTTTCGAAAAAAAGAAATTATCATGAAAGTAATAAACGTTTCGAATTTGCATTAACAAAATCGGTTCATAAATAGGGCTTTTATCGGGTCCGTTTTTCGCAAATGCTTTTTTCATTATGCAGGTAGCTTATAATGTGAATTTGATCGAAATCGGTTCATAAAGCCACCTAGCGGGTCTATTTTTTAAAAACGTATTTTCCATCATGCTGGTAGCTTACATTTTGAATTTAAAATAAATCGGTTGATAAATACGATTTTTATAAATAACTCCACTCCAGCGCCACCTAGCGAGTTTTTGAGTTACCTCCGAACAACGAAAACGGCTATTATTTTATATATATAGATAAATAAAATGGTATGGTCTTTGCTGAAATTTGGGTTCCCTGTACTGCTTAACATAAAGCAATTTCAAAATGGAATTTTTTGCTTTTCCTTATACTATATGATGTCTGTCGATCGCTATAACAAAATAGTTTTACTACTTCCTTATTTTTTTTTTTTAATTTAGAACCACAATCTTCCACTGTGCGCTGGCATTTTTTTCTCGCAATGTATTGTTACAATTTGAAACAATCGTTAAAAAACTTGCAAGTGTTATCTGAGGATTACTTGTTTCTTATTGTCTATTCAACTATAAAAGTCCATATGTGCTCTTGTATGACGATCAGTTGTTTTTCGTTCCGAATCTCGAAATCATCAAAGCATCGAAACATGTGGCCCAGGAATTTCTTTGTACTCCGTAAGTCCTTAAGTCGTGTACATATATGATTTTCCTACTAACTTGTTGAATTCCAGTTTTTGGAGCTGTGCTTTTAATCACTATAGCTATGACTCAAGCTCAGCCCGATGAGCCAGATGTTGCTGTTGTTGATCCAACACCGCCAACTAGGAGACCTACACGTCCGACCGGGAGACCTATACTCCCTCAAATAGATGACCTACGCCTTCAACTAGATGACCTACGCCAACAGCTAATAATCCTACGTCTCCAAACAGGAGAGATACTCATACGACTAGGAGACTCTACTACTAGAAGACCAAGCTAATTTTTTCCATTACCAGGCAAAGTCTTTCCGAGAGGCGAAAATTGAAAAACATGCCGCTAGTTGAAAGGATTATTAATATAACTGTAATATGTGTACATGCAAATATTTAAATTTCCAAGAATTCCTATAAAATATTATTTTTCCTGTAATAAAATGACGTGAGTTCATATGAAGCCTCCTTTGTTTTAAATACAAATAAAAACAATTATCAGACCGACGTCATAGTCGAAGATTTAGCTATGTGTTGAAAAAATGTCCTTGAGTTGGAGTCCAGACACAATGTTAAAGTCACAGCGTACAAATAAATGAATATTTTTAAGGCAACCAAGACCTCTTGGCCTAAAATTTCGTCTGTGTGTAGCGCTGGATTCGAGTTTTTTCTAAAAATCGTACTCACTGCCAGATTTAATACTCGTCATGGCCTGAAAGGATCTGCCAAGGAAGAAAAGAATTCGCTAAACAACGGACGCTAAGTTCGACGTATTTCATGAAAGTTAATTACTTTTAAAGGACACAAAAAGTTTTATTTTTTTATTTTACTTAATTTAATTTTCAAAAAAAAAAAACTATATTTCTTTTTTAGGATAGCGGGCAAAAGTAGTCTTCTATAAACTTACTCAAGCTACCGGAAAAATATTAAACTGTCCATGGTTAATCGATGGTTCTTTTGACCCTGCTACCGTGATTGAAAATTTCCCAATTTCCAGAAAAAATTAATTTTTTTATTTTATTTGAGTTATATACTTAATTTTATTTTAATTTGCTTTATTTTATATATTTTTTTTATTTTACAACAACAACTAACTGAAAACAACGTAAAATAAATATAGAACTTATGTATAAAAAAGAAATTATAACGAAGTAAATGAAAATTCTACTGGCAGTGGGACTCGAACCAACGACCTTGCGACTCGTTTATCCGCATTACAGCAGTATGTAAGGGTAAAATTATTATGCGCAAATATGTTCCACATTATATTAACGTAATTTCAATGATTCAAATGAAGCGTTCACTATGCTTGGAAATGAATTCTGTGTTTTTCATTGGAAAGGCCATAAGAAGTTGCCGGCATAATTTTCGTAGAAGTACGGTCCGATAACTCCACCAGCCCAAAAACCGCATCAAACATCAAACACTGACTCGTTGTGGGTGCATAGTTTTTGCTTGAATGGCATGTAGATTTTCAGCCCCAAATGAGGCACTGCTTGCAGAACAATCGTTTTCATAAATCGTTTGTTATCCTGGCACGATAACGTTCACGACTACGAATTGGAGTTCTCGCCGCCTGATCCAGAAGAAATATACTATCAAATTTTAATACATCCTCTCCCAAAAACGCACAGGAAATATTTATTGAAATACGACGCTAGGATGCAATTAAATTATAGTTTAGAGAAAATTTTACATTTAGTACATCACCACATTAAGTTTTTTGAATGCATGAACTAGCCGAGGTTAGGTATATAAAGTATGTACATTTACAGGGTTGAATTATATTTTCATGGAGCTGTTCTGTTGAAACTGCTACATATGTATGTACATAGGTCTCTCATTTCACTCGCTTCATTTTTTTGCTATATTTTGTTATTTTATTTGACACAAACATTTTCTACTTGCTACCTATGCATGCTACAATTTCTCACTGGGGTGTTCTCGTACTCTTCTATACAGTATTTTCCCTTAGGATTTATGCTTTTCGCGCTAGCGTGCAATTTTGCAAAAATATCTTTTGTAGTTTCCTTGTCAATTAAGCTATGAATAGACGCACTCCAGACAGTCTTTTGTTTCGAATGTATTGTTACAATAGGGGTATTATCGCAGCCTTGCAAAAACCTGGCACGGTGCACGGTTTGCGAAGCTGATGTCAATTCCCCTATAAAAGTACGTCTGCGCTGTCGTAAGAGCATCAGTTGTGCTCCGTTTTCAAACTCGAAATCATCAAGTAATCAAAACATGTGGCCCAGGAATTCCTTCGTGTTCCGTAAGTTCTTAATTGTGATATATGTGTGATTTTCCTACTAACCTGTTGAATTCCAGTTTTTGGAGCTGTGCTATTAATCACTATAGCTGTTACACATGCCCAGCCTGGTGTGCCGGGTGGTGTTGTTGTTATACCAACTAAAAGACCTCCTCCAACTGGAACACCTACGCCCCCAACTAGGAGGCCTACACTCCCAACTAGGAGACCTACACCCCGAACCAGGAGACCTTTAATCTACCAACTAGAAGTGCTACGCGTTCAACTAGAAGACGCACTACGCCGCCAACTAGAACAACTACAACTTCAACTAGCAGGCGAATTACGCCGCCAACTAAGAGAGCTACTCCAAAGTATACGAGACAGAACTAGGAACTGATAAATGTGCTTTACGCAATCTCAACTGTTAATCTAGGCCGCGTAATAGTAAGTGGAAGCCGTTGAATACTTTAGCTAATTGGAAAATTTTACATTTGTTTCTGTTTTCTCCTCTATTTTTAGACTGGCCCTTTAAAAGCCAAAACCGTTGCGAAAAGCTAAAACTTGGGGAACCTGCCGCTGAATGCAAAGTTTAATAATAAGTTAGAGACACAATGATTGATAGAATGTTAAATAATTGATGTTAAATATGAAATTTCCGCCACAAATGCATACATGCATACATAAATATATATGTTTCATTAATTCTTATAAAAAATTATTTTTCTTGCACTAAAATGACGTGATTTCATATGGAGCCCACTTTGTTTTAAATACGCATACAAACAATTATCAGACTAACGATTAGTGAGAAGATTTAGACAATTTCCTTTAGTTTGGATCGAGACACAATATAAAAATCCTTTTTGAGATTCTAAATATTCGAAACAACAACATATCTACATGTTTATTAGAAATCTGATGGCCTTAAAATGACTTGTTGCATGGCGCTGTAGTCAAGTTTTTTCTAAAAATCGTACTAATTGTACGATTTAATTCTTGCGTTTATCTGGAATAATGCATGTAATTCATGGCCTGAGCATTACACGAATATTATTTACTTTTAAAAGACATTAAAATGGGAATTTTCCTACTATGCTGAATTTAATTTTTGAGCACAGCGAAGCAAACTGGAACAAAATTCTTTCTGAAGAATATTAAACTGACAATATTAATCGATGTTATTTTTAACCTTTCTATAACGGTTGGGTAAAAATTACCGAATTTTCAATAAAAAATGCTTTTATTTCACAGTTAAGCAGTTTTAATCAAACTTTGGCTCAGTCTATATCACATATGGCTATAGGTTTGGGTAAATATAAAAAATACATACTCTATTTTTAATTTCATTACAAGGAGGCGATATACTTTTTGCGCACACACACAGCGTCATTTTGACCCAAGATTTTATTTGCTTTTTGACGTAATTTTAATTTGAATTGAAATAAAAAATTTTTAAAACCCCTTTCTATTGATTCTATTGATACCCATACATTAAAAATTCATTTGACTTATGAAATAATTTAATTTTAACTTTTTTAACAGGTGGCAACCCTTTACTAACACCTCAAAAATATTCTTGGCGTTCAAAGTAAAGATTTCTTAACACTCCTTCCTTTGACATCCATACTTTAATATTTTCCATAAGTTGACTAAATTCGACATTTCAAGCAGGTGGCAACACTCTTTAAAATATTTTCAAAATACTACTTTCTGAAACCCCTTTAATTTGGCACCCATATGGTTATACGTATTTATCTTACCTAATATGATTTTTTAAACAGGTGGCGACCCTTCCATAGTTCAGCTAAGAAACAAGGCTTTTCAAAACCGTTTCGATTGATACCCAATTTGCAATAATTGGTTAATTTTTTTTTTGATAATTTCAATATAATTTTTTAGAAGATGGCAAGCAACTCTTTTCAAAAAAGTAAAAACTTATTGCACATCTATAATCCAAGGCTTTAAGTTTGGCGCCTCATTTTGGAAAATCGAACGAACGGTTTGGATCTGATGGTATTGATTATTAAATTATTTGAATGTAATTTTTATCAGGTGGCAACTCCTGTCGAAAAAAATAAAACCATTTTGCACATCTAAAGGCCAAGAGCTTTAATTTGACACTCCATTTTTCAAAATCGAACGAACGGTGCAGATCTTTTATTCGAAAAAAATGCCTTCGCGTATTATACATATATGTATATCGACTGCTGAGTGAAAGGTCGACCTATCTCGGCAGCCAGTTCGAAAACGCCCTATCTCAAAAAACTTTTCAAAAACGTCCTATTTCAGAATTTGGTTGAAGAACGCCCTATTTCAGAATTCGTTTCAAAGACGCCCTATCTCAGCACATTTTCAATACATTTTGAAGTGAGATAGGGTATTTTTGAAACATATTCTGGAATAGGGCGTTCTTCAACCAATCATTTATGTAGCTTATACAACTGACGGGTCACGTAATTTTCTTTCGTATGGTTTTCGATCCTTGAACGGATGTTACGATTCGAGCCCAGGATTAGGGTGAATTCACTACATCTATTGGAGGTGCTATGTCCCTGGTAAACACGTAAATACTCACTATCTTTCAGTTTATGTACTATTTATAAACGCAACGATCTCTTGTATAAACTCCTTTGCATACATTTACCATAGATCTTCTCAGCAAATTTCAAAGTCATGTGAGTTCCGCGGTACGAGGATATAGAAAATGTAAAATCTCAAGGCTATGGAATGGGCGGCACCCCCTTGTACAAACTCATTTATATTTACCTCACTATAAGCGCCAACTTTATTTTTTTCTCCACACTAAATTTAAAAGTCATGTGACTTATCGTTCCCAAGTTATAACTGATTAAATTACGCCTTTGGAATATTCCACTCCCCCTTTTACAAACTTAATTATGTATGTATATGGGTATTTTACTTTCAGCATATTTCATAGATCTGTCTTCACACCAAATTTCAAAGTCATGTGACTTACGGTTCCGAAGTTGTTGCTGATTAAAAATTTCACGCCCATGGGAGGGATCACGCTCCATTGTCAGATCCCATTTTTTATACTCTATGTTATGTTCGAGGTCACTGTCTAGATACCAGCTAAAGCCCCATTAAAATCCATTCAGTAGTTCCAGAGATTAGTAAGTTCAAACAGACAAACAAACAGACAAATTTTCTACCGTCTTATTATAGTATAGACTTGCTGCCTTAATTTATGTGAGAAGTGTATTAAATATTGCGTATCAAGCCAACATTTTTATTCTTTACTACCGAAATTAGATAAATTTTCGTGGACCCCCACGTACAACTCGTGAACCCTCATATTTTTTTCAGGCCAACGTAGAGCCCCGTGAAGTCTTCCCTGGACCCCTGAGGGTATACCAGGACCACTTTAGGAATCACCGCGTTAGATTATGCGCCCTGGGAAATTCGTTCGCAAAAGAGTCATTGTTTCATGCGCTATGTGGTAAGTGACCACGTCCTGTTGAAACCGGATATTGTCCAAGTCCACAACATCTAATCGAGGCCATGAAAAGTTTGTTATTATGTCATGATAACGTTCACTGCAACAGCGTTACTGGCATAATTTTCGAAGAAGTACGGTCCGATAACTCCGCCAGACAAAAAACCACACCAAATAGTGACTCGTTTTTACAAGCTTTTATTTAACTTGTTCTGTATGTGTTTTTTTTCATATAGAGATGGAAAGCATCGAAAGCCTTACCCCCCGTCAGTGTGAGACTTTAACCCACTAAAACCACCTCTTCTCGTCCGGTTTTCCCCCCTGGTACTACCGTCAAGTATTTCGCCAGGAGACCGTTTGAGCAAATTCTTGTTCTGTATGTACGTATGTTTGTTAGCGGCAAATCTTGCAATCAATTTTTGACCAACTTTCCGATGACCGAGAGAAACTTCACAGTTGGCTCAGAATTAGGTTATAGGTGGCGCAGAAGTCGAGAGAATTAAAAAAACGCTGTATTTATAGTCCGATTTGGTTCATATTTAGAACGTTTATTAACTACATGAAAAGGAATAACTCCCCTAAAAATTTTGCCGATAGGTGGCGCACGAGTCGATATATTTGGTAAACCGGTATTTATGGTCCGATTTCGTTCATATTTAAAAAGCTTACTTTAACAAGTAAGAAAGTCTAAGTTCGGGCGGAGCCGAACATTAAATACCCGGCGCACGTATTAAATATATGTTTTTTCACCTTTCCGAAACCTTCCGCTAGATGGTAAGCCGGGGTGTATCAATTTTGAATAAATTAGCGTCCTTAAATTTCGAAATATTGACGTTTAAAGCATTTCTAAAATTTACCGTTATATGAAAAGCCGTAATTTTAGTCCGATTTCAATAATTTTGAACGTTTTGCTTTTATATGGCAAGCACAATAACCATATCGAGTTTGGTACAAATTGGTAGAACGGTTACCGAGATACATATATGTGATCATAAGTGGGCGGTGCCAAGCCCATTTTTCAAAATTTTATGATAGGCGTATTTCCTGGTAAAGAATTGTTGCAAGCATCAATTTTGAATAAATTAGCTTTAATATTTACTGATTTATCGAAGATTTCGTATTTCTCCAAATTACCGTTATATGGGATGTGGGCGTGGTTAATGTCCGATTTTTTAAATTTTCGGCCATTTGGTATCCTGTACCAAGACCAATAACTGTGCCAAGTTTGGAAGAAATCGGTGCAGCGGTTGCCAAGATATACACATGTAACACTAAGTGGGCGTGGCTACGCCCATTTTTCAAAAATTTATAATATTCTTATTTTTCGTCTTAAAGTTATTGCAAATATCAATTTTGAGCGAATAATCTTCTGTAGTTACTAAAATATCGCAGTTTTCGTATTTCGGACGGACGGACAGACAGTCACCGCTTAATCGATTTCTCTTTTCATCCTGATCATTTATGTATACATTTGTCTATATCTATCTCGATTTGTTTTGCCTGTTACAAACAACCGTTATGTGAACAAAGTTATAATACCCTTGTGCACAAGTGCGCTCGGGTATAAAAATATTTGGTTTACAGTTAACTTATTACTTACGTGTAGATTTTCAGCCGCAAATGCGGAGCTTTTTGCAAAACGACCATTTTCATGAAAGGTTTGTTATCCTGGCGCGATAATGTTCACGACAACGTTTGGGGTCGTCGCGACGTAGATAGCACTTTGTTCCACAGCAGAAATATTTTCGGCCGAACGTTCTGTATGGAAGCGCTGGTGTTTTTTCATGCCTTGCAGTGACCCAGTTTCTTCGAATTTCTGCACCAAACGGCTAAATGGTGGCTCAGATGGGCGGTTTTGTTGACCGAAAAAATCACGCAATGCGAGAAATGCTCTTCTTGCAGAGCAACTATATTCACAAAACGTTTGCATCACTTTTACGTGTTGTCCAACTGAGTATTGCTCCATGACTTAAGGCGCTGGCCCAATGCAGGCTTGCTTTGCTTGCTTCGCTTTGAGAACTGTCAAAAGTTATTTGGAATATACTAAAACGTATGAAGGGTGGCCAAATGGCAGCTTTGATTCACTTGCTTTAAGCACCTCAAAGTTTCAAATAGGCAAATGTTTTATTTGAAAGCGTTTCGTAGGCTTTTGACAAAAAGATATGTTCCCGTTCTAAATCAATTCAAACAATCTGCTGCACCTTTTTATGTTTTACGTAATTAAAAACAAAAATATATGTATAATATTAGTAATTCAAATTTTAATAAAATGT